ATTTTTGTCTTGTATCATTATGCTGAACTCTATTTTCTAAAAGTAGAAGTGATGTTACTGACAGTGGCATTAACCCAAATTTCATACCTTTTTACTATTTTTGAAAAATAAATATACTTTAAAGATAATTTATTCTACATTAAAAAAAGGCTTATTACTTCAATCATTCTATTCATATGAAATAAAAATAATTCTATATAAATATTCTTTAATATATATGTATATGTATATGCAATTTGCAATGTTATGTATACATATGTCCCATTATGAAAACTTGCAGACGATTTGTATAAATTAAGGTATTAAATTTTCCTTGAAATGAATTTAAATTTAATTTAAATGCTTTAAAAACTAACAAATTATGATTTTTTATTATACTAGCTAATAATTTTAGTATACACTTAAATTTAATATTACAAAAGTTTCCTACTAAAGATTATTTACGAATGTGATATTCGGTAAAAGTGCATTATTAGTTGATGTTTTTGGATAAAACTTAGCAAAAAATGTTAAATTTTCTTAAAATATACAAATTTTAATTTAAAATAAATGAATTCCATAATTAACAATTATTCATTTCAAATAGCAGTCTATTTTTTTTCAATCAAAACCTATGTTTATATTGGATATCCAATAAAACCCTTCTTTGGAAAATATTAATAGCAAGATTTTTAAATTAAAATTAAAATTGTTGTACAAACTATATATTTATTCATATTGCATAATTGTACATGTTTATATAAATATAGCTTATGAATTTATTTAATACAATAAACGAGTATTACAATTTCTAAACAGTTGTTTAAGAATTATTATGATATGCATTTATGTGATACATTTTAATTTTATATTTTAAATCGTAACTTAAAGCGTTGGTAAATATTCAAAGAAAAAAATTTGAACCATCGTTTATCTCATAACATTTAAATAAAATATATCATCTCTCTTCAAATAACTTGAAAGTAAAAGTATATAAGACATAATTTCTCTAGTTTAAGGTTTAACGATCATAAAATTGAGTAATAATTATCCGAAAAAATTTTTCTTATCAATAAATTGTTCGATCCCACACGTAGTGACTGTTTCTAATGTAAGCTGTCTTGTGTACTGCTATTTACTTTTAGAAACCTGATAAACCTCTATATTAAACGGTATTTTTTCTATACTCTTTTGCTCTCTTTTTCTTTTTCAAGCATATACATTTTTATATATTATGTTTTATATCAAAGCGACGTATTAAATATATATTAATATTGCTTTCTCAATGCTTTTATTTTAATAAAAGTAATTTTTTATTTTTTGATATTAATATAAATAAAATCTTACCGTATTTGTTTATTTACCATATTAGATTACCATAATGAAAATCTTAAACAAAATTTCTTTTAAACAATCTATATAAAAAATCTCTATAACTGCATATAACTGCGTTAAAAGGTAGACATCGATTTCATTGCACCAACATTATTACACTTCTATTGTACATATTTTGTATGATTTTATAACAACTAAGTCTTAAATATGAAAGTTCAATGTTACTTATGATTTTAAATTAATAAAGTATATTTATCTAAATATCTTTTGAAATGTTAATTGAAATAATTTTGTATAAATATTTATTTACTTCGAATAATATTTAAATAATATATAAAAATTTGAATAATATTAAAAATTTTATTTCTTTTACATATCTTATCTTTTTGATATACTAACACTGTATATAAGCTTAATACTTACACTTTAGTTGATATATATCCCTATAGCTATTAATTTAATAACTGTTTTATGAAAAATGTTTGAATTTACGTTTTAAAAAAGTTTTACTTATTGTTTTAAAAATAAACTGCACAATTTAAAAACTTTTTAATTAATTTGAAACACAAATTTGATGAGAATGCTGATGAATAAGAGCATAATAAAAATCAAGGAATTAGGTTAAATATATGCGTATTAATTCATAAATATTTTAATATACTATATGATTAAATTATAAAATTGAATTATAAATTATTATTGTAGAAAAATAATAAGACATATACATGAATAATTGAAGTATAATATGAATTTCTTATATTATTGATTCTAAATTTTTTATAAGATTTATTTAATAATAAATAATAATTTACTATATACAAGCAATTTTAATTGTACTTGTATTCCACGTATTGTACACTCATAGTATTCTTTATGATTGAATTCTTACATTTACCGAAGCTATAATAGTCATAAATTTAATCGATGGGAATAAATATTTAAGATAAGAATAATATAGAAACATTGTATAATCAAATTCGCACAAATATATTCGTCAGCAAAGGCTGTGATTCTCATTTATAAAAATTTGTAATTGGAAGAAAATAATAGTTGGCAGGCTTAGATTTTCTCATCTGACACATTATTTTTCAATTTCATATGATTATCAAATCGTTAACACTGTTTACAGCACTCATTCCTTGCAGTTACCAACAATGATTTTTACGTCAAAATTTTCGGCTAACTTTTCGTATAAAGATTAAAAAACTTTTTAGTATTATAGAAAACAAATTATCTAGTCCTAATTCTTTCAACTTTCTATTTCTAGGATTTTATAATGCAATAATTAAATACAGAATAATATTTTAATTTTTTCTCTTTATTCAATTTTTTGTTATATAACTTATCCTTTTTAATTAAAAACTATAAAAATTATTTACAAATTTAATAAAATTATTTAAAAAATTAATCAATAATAATATGAATTTTTATAAAATATATTATTTTTAATTAAATTATATTATGTAAAAATCATAATTTCTAAAAGTTAATATACGATTATAAATAGTATATACGTTTTTTAATAAAACCAAAGAAATGATCGATTTATGGACTTTATATATAAATATTTCAAAACTATAATCGTCGGAATTTTTAAACATGATTAGATAAGGATAATAAATTCTGAGATTCATTGAAAAGACAAAGCAAAAATCTCGACTTGAGAGACTTAAAATTTTTTGTTTTAAACCAGTACCAAATTTTATGATTGATTTTTATGTGCAGTTATTTTGATACTGATTTTCAAAACTAGAAATTATGCTTTTGTTACGACAAAATTAAAAACAATTGTTTTGTTATTTTAAATAAAAAAATTTAGTACCTTGTATACATTTCTAATCAAATGTATTATAAATAAAAACAAAAAAGAAATTGAAAACAGAAGTATGCAATTATACTATGCAAAATTATGTGTAAAAAATATATGTATTCAAAGTTCAATTATAGTAAAATATGAAATTGTCGAAAAGATACATACTTCACCGTTTCAATACAAACTATTAATACTGAAATAACTACTTTATAGAAATTCATTAAAAACACTTATTTATATACTTATATACGTTCAACGTTTAGTAAACAATATATATAATAATATAAGTTATATAATAATATATAAAATAGTAATGAAGAATATGGTACTTAAATAATATACTTATCAGGAAACAGATAAAATGTAGTATCATAAAGATTTGTTACTTGAATAGATTGGAGTTGTAATATTCTTTTTATTTTTCTAATACCATTCTATTTTTAGTTATTTTTTATTTAAGTATTCTAGTTGAACTAATTGATACAATTTATTTAGTATATAAAAACTAACTATCAACTAATCTTGATATGTAACAGCTTATGTAATTTAACTTCATTTATGTTATAAAAATTTAACGGCTTTAACTTCATAAAAAAACAAATATAATATATTATTATGCTTTATAAATATTTATATATATATAATACAATATAAAAAATTACAAGTTTTTTAGCAATCAGAGAGATCTGTTTAAGAAATGGATTGCAATTAAATAAAAAATTAATAAATAATTATTCAACGGTCAGAAATAACTTATAAAATTTATTATAGAAATCAATTTTTATAAAATCTGTTTTGTTTAAAAATGATTAACTCACAAAAAATATCTTTACTAGATAGAATTCCTTTATTTTATGTAAATAATAATTGACTAGCTTTAAAAATTAATTTAATATAACTTTATAATTGGGTAGTTTTATATTATTATACTTATTAAATTATATTAAATATAAAATTATATTAAAATGTTGGAAAATATCTATAAATATTTTTCTTGTAAAATACATTGATATATGTATATATTAACATTAACTAATGTATATTAACATAGTTTCGTCGAAAATTTATTTTCACCTGTAAAACAAATGCATATAAACCGGATTTATACATCATCATATGTATTTAGATATCATGTATGTACATATCATGTATGAAATTATAATCGGGCAAACCACTTTTGCCAAACATGACAACAGGATAAATTACACTCATAACATTTACGACAAATTATTTAATCAAACCTTATTTTTAATTTTTTCCTTCTTCTCCATTTTTATAATGTTAAATTGACTCTTGAAGATAGAATTAGTGCCAGAAATTGTAACATGAAGACTAGAAAAAGAAAGATACATAAAAAGAGATGAATCCGCCCGAAAAATCTATTTCGACATTATATTCGTGTATAGTGATGGTTAGCAATGATCGTACAGAAAGACGACGGTACCTCATCTTTTCATCGAATCATCAGCAGTGATTAAAAGTATAAAAGGATTAAATTTAGTATAACCATTTGAGCATTCGCACCGCTTTTCTTATTTCCAATTTGTACGCCCTCCTAATCAGCTCTCGTTCACCTCGACCGAAACCCACATATCGTGAGTGGGGAAGATACCCTTTATGCTATAAGATTTTTTCTAGTTTATGCCATGAATTCTTTTCAATTCATTCACGGAATGCAACAGTTTACAATTGGAAAGTCATATCTACTTCCGCCAAAAACAGTCGATTCAGACCTGGATAAATGAATATTGTAATTCGCGATATAGCGCGTACGAACGGTCAGTGTCGGTCGGGATGAACGAGAAGCAAACGTGCAATAAACAAAAAAATTCGAGTAAATGGTCGAGCGCGTTGGCAATTTTGGGCATTTCAGCGGCATCGAGCGCAAGGATGAGGTCTACAGTCTTCGCCAACTGGAGGTGCGTGACTCTCGGCTAAAAGACGATCGGAAAGAGAACACAGCGACACCTCAACCACGAGCTCAGGTCTTAGAATCGAGCAAGCCCGTCGCCGACAAGCCCATCTCTGTCACGGCGTCTCTATTCCGCTACCAGGAGCGAACCAAACCCCAGCAGGCAGTCAGACTGAAACTCGACGACAAGGAAAACGATATCAATGATGTTAAGGTGCGTTGCACTTTTTTTAATTAAAAATATTTCTTGTACCGTAAATTCAGCCTTCATCTATAATTCTGCATTTAAGAATGTGGTTATTTCTTATTGTCAATTAATAAATCTATTTTTTACGCGAGTAAATGATACTATAAGTTTTACAAGCGAAGGTACGACTTTTACGGATCATCAGTTTTTCCGTTAGTCTTTTGTGATTTTTAACAAAAAATATGAACCCCTAACTTTTATCAAGATGCAAAATTTAATTTTTCATCGTCGATCAATACTTGATTCTACATTATTATATTTGTGTAGCGTTTTTTCAATTGTTGCAAAATGTATTAAATTGTCGAATAGATTTTTAGATGCACCATATTTCTAGTTTTGTTTAAAAATTTTGTTTTCATTTAATTCATTAAATCTATAGATTTTTTATTTTATTTCAATTAAATAAATCCATTATTGCTTTCAAAAACAAAAAGCACTTGCTTCTTAAAGATAATAAATGGCTATTTTTCATTTATTAATTCTGAAACGTAACAGTAAAGGGTTATTTATTTTCTCAATATAAGGAAATTTAAATCGATTAAGTAGTAGTTTTAAACTTACTTTATTTATAATTATTGTTTTTAAGAAATATCGTATATTGAGCAAGAAAGTAATAAATTTTAATTAATATACTATAAATAAAAAAATGATGAAAAGTTTTCGTTTTTCCATTAGGGAAACTTATTCGTGCTTGCATTTACGTACGTATAGTTAGATAAACTATAAAATACGGTTACTTCTGATTTGAATTAGGCGGGGAAAGTGCATACAATAACGTATAATAAGATTAGTAACACGTATACAGAATAAATAACCGCTTGATTTTTACACATCTTCCAGGTCAATGTGAACTCACCAGTGTGTGAAGTGGAACTCAAACAGCAGTTGCCGCCTGTCTATATAACTTCATCGATTCCGGATTCACCTATCTACCAAACACCAATTAGTAACAATAGCAGCAGACCTCCACCACAAACCGCGACCGCGAGTATCTTTGCGCCTCGTACTAAGGATATGAACAAGGGCTTCCTCACTTTCAGCGAAGACCAACCAGGCCTCACCAGTAAGATCACCGCATCTGTATCTAAAAATGCACACATTTTCTTTTTAAGGCATTCGTTGTACTTGCTAACTTAAATTCTTACCCAATGAAAGCAAATCTGTACAGTACATTCATAAGTATATTGAGATGCACGTATACTACAAGTACAGCGACATTTTAATGTAAACGGAAACAAAAGTTTATTCACTAACGTACGGTAATTCAACCAGGAGGTATATATTTTCGTGCATTTCGCGTATTTAGTATTTTACTTACCAATTAAAAAATAGTTCAAATCTAATTAAAATTAATTAAATTTTGAAAAAAAATAATTTTAAATTGGGTCCGATCGATTATTGTACCAAGAATTCTGACGGAAATAACTTGCTCGTATTCTCAAGATTTCGTGTTTTAACCTTTGGTTTTTTAGTGTTAAAGGATGAGCCTGAAGACTTGACACACCTTGCACCTACTGCGGGAGACGTGTGCGTGCCCCTCGAAGATCCACCTTTCTTGAGCGATATGCTCGACGAGTTCATTCTGCACACAAACTATTGTCCGCTACTAAGTCCCGAACTGCCGTCTGGCACTCCGGAACTTACTGAATCCGTCTGTAACGGTCCTGTGATCTCCAACATCCCCTGTCAAAACAAGGAACCTGAACAAGCGATACTTGGCGAATCAATGAGAAGGAACAAATTTTGTTCAACTGACAGCGGCGATCCCTTCATTTATAGAGACTCGCCCAGTCGCTGTAGTCTCACCACGGATCTTCACTCGCCGACGCTATCCAAAGTTCGTTTCCTTTTCTTTCCTTTTCAATCGGCGCTTTGAAACCAACCTTTTATCTCTTCAGTTCTTTTTTCTTTAACAGACCTTCATACTTATCTTTAAACAATTACTATTAAATTTCTTAATTATCATTTCATAAGGCAGCAATTAAAGAAATATGTAATTGGAATCTTTAGACCATTTACAATTCGTTGTAAATACATATATTATATACAAATAGATAAAATATACAACAAATCTCTACTTTCTTTATCCTAATTATAAGCTTATTTTGCAATACAAAACCAATCTGTCATTATATATGACATTTTCCCATATTTTAGTCGCTGTTGACTCATTACCGGTATTTATTTACTTTATAAATAGGTAATAACGAAAATACAGAACAAAATCACAGATACCAATTACCATGCTCAAATTTCTAGAATAAACTTTATCTAATTTTAACGTAGTTTGCATACAAGATATACTGTATATTTAAATATAAGAATATCATTTTACAGTTAGAGCAGCTATGTATCTCCTAAAATGTATTCTTAGGAATAGTTAAGTTAATTTATATAATTAATTTAACTTTCATTAAATTAAGTATACTTATTGAGATGCTTAGATATCATGTTAAAAATTAGTATTGATGATTGTTTTATTATTAAGAAATAATAATACTAAATCAAGCACTCGTTAGTTAAATTTTGTTATTAACTAATTATAGATTTCATATTTCAAATTTAACGAAAATTATTCTAAAGATATCATTTATTTAAATTTAACAATTCAGATTTAAAAATTAATTAATGTAAACAATAATGTGTTTTATTTTTAAATATAAACATAAAATATTACTAACATATAGGTTATACGTAAGAAATTACAATCACGTTTTATTTTAACTTTTATAGAAATAATCAATTGGTTTGCTCTTTAATATTTTTATGTTTGAAAATTTAATTTTTATAAATTTATGAATGATTTCATTTCATTAATAATTTAAATTTTTAAGTTATATTGATTCAATTTTTATTTCAAAGTTTTACTTTTAGAATAAAGGTCAAGTATTAATAAATAACAAAATGTTATATAAATTCTATATTTTGCTAAATTCAATACATACTTTATTTTTAATTCGAAAGTTCTTAATTATTTAAAAATGGAAATTTAGTTTATGTAGGAAATTTGTATAAATAATACATGATTATTTATACAATACTTTTTCTCTCAGGATAACTCGATTACATAATAGTATAAAGATTAGTTTATTGACAATAATTCATATAAATCTATATTTACTTAATAGTATAGCTTAATATTATACTTATATACTAAATGTAATTTTTGTAATTTACAGATTTTTAATATTCAATGAATAATTTGAGAAATTCCATTAATTTTATAATTAAAAAAAGATTAATCACGTAATCGCGATACTAAGTTTAGAAAATTGATGAGTAGATTATGATAATTTTGAGATCATTATATGGCTTACGTTTGTTTTCTAATTAGTGTTCTTTTATGTCTTTAGAAATAAAATATAAACATTGCAGTACATCAGCTCTAAATGTGATATAAAACTTTTAGCTTAAAAAAATTAAAAAATCCGAAGCAATATTTTTCCATTAAAAGAAAGAGGATCGACATTATTTTTTTAGAATTAACTTTTTCACTTCATAATTACTTATTATAATAATGAAATCTGAATAAAGTTAGTTTATACATCTGTACCGTCTGCTGTAGCTATATATAGCTACAGTTAGCAAACCACAACTTGCAATGAATTATTACAAAAAAGTATTATAATAACTTCATAGCCTTAAAAAAAAATTTGTTAAGTATCTGAAAATGCCCTTTCAACATCTATGTATATGCATCTATTTAAGAGCCCGGAAGGCAGTGGTGCCGGTGATTCTTTGAGTAGTCCGAACGGTAGCGGAGATAGTGGCCTTTTCGAAGACGAGATGTTAATGCTGAGCATCAGCGATGTCATGGCTGATGACGAGCTGACACTGCGAGCTCCATATATACCGATGTCCGACCAAGACGAAGCTCTACAATTACTTATCAGTGACGACATGGTTATGTGGAGTCCAAGTCAATCCACTGATAAAAAGTCTAAATGGTAGGAACAAGGGCTGTATTTCATTTGATGTAATATTTTTTTTTTACTAGTGCATTCAAATGTTTTTTGTTTTTTGTTTTTTTTTTGCTTTTCTTTAATAATGCATTGAATGTTAACATTCTTGTAGAACATTTTTAAAAGCATTTCTTATATTTATTTGGTATTGTAATACAACTAATTTCAATCATACGTACGTATATAATTAAATGCTATTCTTATATGTTAAAATATCATGAAAATCTAACCAAGTCTATTAATGATTCAGCTATATTTCTTTTTCTAATTGCTAATTGTCAATATTTTTTATTGTTTTTCGTATAGGTTAACGGATACGGGCGAAGACAATGCAAATTCCAGTTTAGCTCAGTTACTAACTAGTGAAATAAGTTCAAAGAAGATTAAGGATCGTGAAGAAACTCTCGTTAATCCAACACATGGCCTAGGACAAATTAATTTAAAAAGTTAGTATTATTACTCATATCTGTAATAATATTATAAATACTTTAATGTGATCTAAATTACATTTCTTGCAATGACTTAATTGATTATTTAATTTATAGTATTTTAATTTAAAAAATCATAAAAATAAAATTAATTTTTTAATAGAAATAAATTTATTACTGAAAGAGACAATAAAAAGAATGACCACATTTATAGCTGAGAATGTTTTTAGAATCAACGAACAAATATCTTCTTTCAGATACTACAAAGAACATCACTGCCGATCGAGAACGCACAAATAAACGCGTGCACACATTCTGCAATAAGTCCAATCATGAAATTAAACGTATTAAGCACAATGATAGCAATATCACCAATAATAATAATCTCTCCAGTCTCGAAAGTATTCTGTCCGTGTCAATTGAAAACAGCCCACTGCTTCAGCAATTGGCTTCCCAACAGGCTACAAAAAACCGAAATTGGCAGAATCAGGTGACATTGGACACATGGAGTCGAAATGGCAATAACATCTACGAGGACTCAAGTCTCTGCCGAATACAAAACTTACATAAAATCATCATTGAGGATGATGGAGGTGGGAAAACAAAGTCACATCAACATCAGCATCAGTTACAACAACAACAATCAAACAGCGTTCTGATGAATTTGCTAGTTTCCGGCTGCGACGTGAGTGCCGGTTACGTGTGCTTGACTAAGCAAAATTCGAGAACCTCGAAGGGCATAACAAATAAATGAACTATGAATTCAAAAACATTGAAGCGCACCTTATCTTTGTTATAAGTGGCACAAATGTACAAAAGGGAAAGATAACAAATTAGAAGTTTAATCATCATACGTTATTCTTTCTGTAATCGCGTTCTTTTTTAACATACTTGATATCAAATGCCAGTCTGGTAACTGGACTTTATTATTCCGCGTATCTTATGTATGTATAAATTCTATATATGCGCAAGCCGGAACAATTATAATCCTGCCGATAAGTATGAACGAACAAGTGTTTGTAAAACCGTATGTTACACACGATAAACAATATATCAAACTTGTATAAGCGTTTATGCTTACAATTTGGACCTAAAACGCATACGAGATTGTTAAAGCTTAGTACCGGGTTTCTGTATTTTTCTATCGGAATTTCATTTTGTGAACAATTGTTTGTAAAAACTTAAAAATTTATATAAATATTCAGTTCAAATCAATTGAAGGCGTACGCGTCGGCAACACATAAACGCCTATCTATATTCGCATGCAACTGTGAATATCTAAGTATGAACAAAAATAACATAAAAAAAAATAATGTAGTGTCAAGTACTAGTAGATGCCTGAGAAGCTGTTAATATTAATATTAATACAATAAAAAAGACTGTCAGAAACGAGATTAATATTTATGCGATAAGAACAAGAGAGAAAAGATAAGCAAAAGTAGTTTAACATTTAAAAAAGGAATTTTTATCTACAAAGAAGGCGATGTTCCCGCTCTCTTGAGTTAATATTGTGTACATATTGAAGACAAAAAAAATATATATAGAAAATATATATACATATACATATACATGTATATATAGACATGTATATAAATTATATATACATGTGTGTATATATTTATATATGTAAATATATAAATTGTTGATCAATCGTTAAACTGAAATACATAATATAAAAAATGATCGTCTACAAAATATGACTTCTGCTGCGTTTCAATTCCTTATCTCAAATCCACTTCCTCTACTTAGCTAACATTTTTCATCTTTTGTAAAATTTTCTTTGTTTCGGTCCTTAGTTTTTCATTTTCAAATTAAATATTTTATGTACTAGCATATATATTCTTTGTTCTTATAAGTGTTGTATTATAGTATTTTATTGACTAGTTAAAATTCATTTTAATAATATTCATTGCAACTACATATGAATTTCAATATTATAAGGATTTATAATATTAAATAAATTGATTAGAAAATAATTGTACATATAATATTAATATGCTACTAATATATATAATTTATTAATGATATACCTATATTTATTATTATACATATAATATAATTTAAGAAAATATGCATTCAAGGAATTAAAAAAATTAGTCTTACTATACAAATTATTCAATAGTAACAATATTAATTTAAATTCTAAAGTTAAAATATAATCTTAATTTATAAGATATTAATGTCAATAATATGAGTAAGAACATAGTGCTCTCAATATATCTTATTAATCTTAATTTTATTACTTGATAAAAGATTTTTCTGAAAATGTTCGTTTTCACACTCATTTTCATACATAAAATTGCTCAAATCATTCTTATATTAACTTACCTTTCATATTTTTTAAAATATACTTAACATTATTGATAAAATACTATTTAAATAAATATTTATTAATAATTAGTACCATCTGTTCTACAGAATGAACTTTGCTGTATCTTTTTTTAGAAGAAAAGAACGAATAGTTATTAAATAACTGAATTAGTCATAGAATATTCAGAAATCGCTACTTATCCTTAACATATTTATTTTTTATATGAAAATAATGACCTATTCCTTAAATAATAATACTTAGATATTATAGTTTTCTAAATTTGTTATTCTACAATTTCCAGTAAAATATATGAGAATTACATAATAGATAATAATAAATAATGTATTTTTATGTCATTTTACATTAATTCATTTCTGCTTTTTCTGACATTATCCCTTACATCCTTTAGAAATGCAGCAGTTTTTTTAATCAATAAATTTTTTTTAATCCGGCAAGTAATTTTTTGGTAAGAAAATCATTAGCATTTAATTTTTACAAGAACATTATGTTGTTTCAATGTATTAATTTTAAAATTAAAAAAAGAGTACTTGATAATATTAATATTTTATTTATTTGTAGTTTTATATTTAAGCTATAAGGTAATCTTTTTTTTAAATATTTGGAAATTGAGTAAAAAAATATTGACTAATTTAATTATATAAATTGTATGTTATAAGTGAAATTATACTATATAATATATAATATTTAATATTATATATATTTATATAATAAAATATATATATATATTATATTTTATACTATATAATATTTAATATACCAAAACATAAAATAGAAAAAAGTAAAAGTTAATAGAATGTAAAAAAATTTATTTTTACTTAATGCATATTTGTGTTAACATATTATTCTTGTTTTCTAATATATAATTTAATTTATAACAAAACTTCTTTTTTTGATGGATAAATAAAATATTTAAATAAAATTTGTATAAGTTTTAATATTTAAGTAATGTCATTAAAATTTTCTATTAATATAAATAAAGAAAAATATTTGTGTTTGTAAAGTCTCGATGAAACTTAGCAAAACCAATGTAAAAATGAATTTTTCAACAATTTAAAATACGCTTTATATTAAGAAGCGTATCAATAAATTATCCTTACAAAGCGGATTTGTGCAGTAAATTCTCTATAAGAGTAGCCATTAATTTAATTTACGCATATAAAGAAATCGAGCAAACCTGTAGATAGTTATACATTTGACTAACGAATTTATTTGGCCCGTAGGTCCAAGATCTTGAGAGTCAGTTCGATGAGAGGATGTCGGGAAATCATCAAAAACCTTCGAACCTACAGATATACATCGAAGAGCAACTCCAACATGTACCCCAATGGTCGAACAGTACGCCAAACTTTGGCTCCAGTAAGCGTCAAAAAGTTTACGAGCCTATAAATTATGAGGAGGAACTCGGCTTCATAAGTACTGCAAGCATTGTACACGAGAGTGACGAGCTCCTGCGTACCCTCGAACCCAATCTTGCTTGATACGAGTTAAAGATTTAGGCAAGATGTAAACAGGTTGAGTTATGAGGAGGGTGGGGGGATATGAATGTATATGCAAAGTAAATATAGAATGACTGGGTGACAATGATAATTCTCTTATGAGGCCTTTCACGAAATCGTTTGTTACTAATTGTGAATATACATATGTAAATAGAGATACACTTGTCGAAGAAAAAGGGAGGCTGGCAATACGGAGAAAATACCACGTTCTTATACGTTTGTGGAATTGTTTGCCATTGCAATTTATATGATCTATGCGAATATCCATATTTTATACAAAGATATGTATTACTTTATCTTGAGATAAAATATTCTGAGTGATTTTTGCTACTAAACCAAAATTCAATATTGCTCTGTAAAAGAAAAGCATTATAGCATACGTAATTTTAGTGAGGTAATTATATTAAAATCATTATCAATACTTTTCCGATATAATTTTATTGATACAAGTTTCAATAAATTATATACAACACAAATTAAATTTTAATCATTTATATAAATGTAGATATTGTTTGTTTTTTCTATACATGAGTATGATAATGGGATAGTAAAATTTCTGTAATATTTCCTCCGTGTTGTAAATGCAAATATCACCTCTTCTGTATACATATTTAATTAAAAAAAAGGAATCCATTTTTATTTAACCTCTTTTTTTTCTTTACTTGTTATATTGTTTTACTGATGAAATTATGAAAAAGGTTATTTGGAATTATTTTATGTAATAAATTGTCTTAGTTTGTATACAATCTATCTAAATTTTTACATCTCCTAATTTACTCTATTATTTTCTAGTATATTTTCTAGTATATTTTCCTATTATTATTTAGATAACATTTTTTGCAAATTACAATAAATAAATTTTTATAAATATTTAATTAATTATGAATATAAAATTAATAAAATTTGTAATGATAAAAATATTAAAATATATATATAACTAAAAAAAGATTAACGTTTCCTGTGTATCTGTATGAATTTATTACCATTTTAGTATATAATTGTTTTAGGAAACAATTAATATAGTATATATTTGAATCATTTGAGTTAAAAATAACTTAAAAATTACAATTATAAATCGATGGCATTTGAAGTTTCTTTTTTTAATATTAGTTGATATTTCTGATGAAATTGAATTTTAAATGCTACATTTAAACCCTAGGTTTACATTAAATATTTTATATTTACGGGGGTGTTAATATATTTAATTTTCATTGCAAAACCTACAATTTATTTTGAAAAATATTTGTATAAATGGTAACAATAGTTATTTCCATGTTTGTTTTTTTTATTTAGGTCGAATTTTATATTACACTGCGTTTATATTGTATACTAAAAAATGCAACAGACATGTACAATACATTACATAAACTGATTATTTACAAACATATAATAAAGGTATAAAGATTACTTTTATTATTTATACTAATTATATAATAATAGATAAAATAGCATGATTATGTAACAATCATTCGTCACTTGCATGATCAAAGACAAATAACGTTTTTAAACATAGTTAAAAAAAAACAATTAAAGTTAAAAAAGTTATATAGTAATGTCGAAAAAACAAAATGAATAAATTAATCGGCATAGAGTTTTAACTGAATTTGTAAAAATAAATAAATAAAATTATTTAATGTTAAAAACTCTTTCGAGTAACTGCCATATAAAGAATCAATGAGTGTGGATAATTGGGATCAAATAAGACATATAATTGCTTATATGTGGAAAAAAAAGCAGAAATATGCAAATATAACGCTATAAAAACATTGTATTTCTTATCTGTAATCTATATAAAAGATAGGTGAAACATATAATATCAAATGTGATGGAGATTCATAACATTAATACAGAATAAGCTATTGTAAACGTTATATAATATTTACTTAAGTTAATATAAATATATTTTGCATTTTATGAAAATACACAATTATAAAATATTATATTATAACTATTTGTTTACCTTTTCTATGATATATTTTTAAAACAATGATTTAACAAATATTGATTTAAAAATTTTCTATTTACAAAGAAATTCTAAACGTATTAAAAATTGATAAAGCATAAAAAATTAGATAATTAGATAATCGTTATTGAACAATTAATATTCTTTTATTTCTCTGCTTTTCAAAATGTGTTTAAACAATAATATCAAATAATTTCAAGATTTCAAAATGGTTATTAATGCTATATTATGTAAAATAATACGTATGTTACCAGTAATAAAATTAAAATATTTTTAAATATTTCAATTTTTACGAATCAGTAGTTCACAAATAAAACTATTGATGTAATAATTGTAGGATAAAAAATTTTTCTGTATTTATGAAACGTTTGTGTAAAACAATTTAGATGCAAAGATCGACTAAGGCAAAAACACATGCAGAAAGAGAAAAAAGAGAAAACTTACAGGATCTGTAGTTACAAGTAGTAAAGAAATATTTTCTACATGTAATACTATTGTCTATATTGGATATCCTAGTGATCAGTATGTGTGTTAATGGTATATTCGTTGGGGGTACTTCTGTTAATGTCATTAACAAGAACTGCAAACTGATGTGCTTGGATTCTGGGACTTCTGATGGCTTTTACGCATACTGATTGACTGTGTAGAGGAAGATCAATTACAATATTATAAATCACTTGCGTTTACTCTAGCCTATTTTAGAAGTTCTCGAAATATAATTGTTAACTGAAATTTATTATAATATTAGTTTCAATCACGTGTATTAAAAACAGTTTTATTTATATTGTAAAAATTTCCAGTTTAAGTTTGATAAGTTTTTAAAAAATTAATTTTAGAATTAATTTCATTATTTTTCTTCTCAAAACATTTATTACAATTTTATTGTTATTTTAAAAATTATACTTTAAAAAATTCATTTATCGTTTTTATAATTTATTAATTTTCTATATGCTGTTCTTTTTTATGATTAACTAACGGACAGATTTAATTGTATGTTTCTTTTTATTTACTTTATTTAATAATATGAAATTAGTTTAAAAATTTGCTATTGCTACTTTTTATATTAATTTAAATTTATTATTACATTCCTAATTTATTAAATTTTATACTTCTTTGTCTTGTTTAAATCAGAATATTCATGAATATTTTAAATTTACAATCATTCTATATTTTATAATTCAAATATGTTATGCTTCTATATAATTGTAATATACATTTTTGGTAGCAATTTTTCTATTGAAATTCATTGTTCTGGTATTTACAAATGACTATCGAATACTTTTAGTTAAAGATTATTCGGTATAAAATTTTCGCATACTATTTTATTTATTAACGATAATGAACTATCTTCATGCATTGCGTCAAAATATAAATGTTTTTGTTGGAAAATTTTAACATCAAATTAGTATCTTGGAAATCTATTCTATATGTTACAGATCTAATTTTATAATTTAACGTCTTCTTCAGAAATTTTATTCGAACTTTTATTAGAAATTATTAATTGTATGATATTGATGCACCATATAATATAATATAGTATAGTTGAAAAAAGTTTGTTACTACTTAATTAATATTTACATGATTATGTATAAAAACGTACATTATACAATAAAATAGATTCGAACAATTTATGCATTAAAATGATATATTCACCTTTAAAATAACAAGAAATAATCAGAATTAGAATAAAATAGGTTAAAAAAATACTGAAATAAAACCTTCAATTTTATAGACGTTTCTTTACACAAATATTATATTTTATTTTACATGTTAATTCTTTTAAATTTTGAATATAAAAGAAATTAATGAGTTGAATACGAATTTAATATTTCTGGTCCAGATTAATACAATATTCAATTTAATTATTTCAGTATAGAAATATTGTATTGCTGTATTTAATATAGTTTAATGTAATGAATATTATAGTACATAAAAATACAAAATTATTTATGAAAATATAATTTATGAAATTACATTTTATTTGCTAGAAATAGAATAAAAATATTAGGTCTGAATAACTATTAATTACTTATTTAATTTACTATTTTTGTTAATATTAAATTAATAAACAAAAGTTATTGTGTTACCTAAATGCATATAAAATAGTAAAGAATTCAACTGTTTTTAATGTCTAATACTAAGAGATTTACAATGATTGCTGCTACCAAAGTAATACTGTGGAAAGTACATTTGTAATTTTAAACAGAACAACGTTATAAAATCAATAACTTGTAAAAAGTATAAATTTATTAATTTTTAATATTTTTGATGTTTCGTTACTCGTGTAATAAATTATAAGGTAAATAAATATAAACAATTAACAAGAATCGAACTTTATTAGCAATACAGAGGAAAGAAAAATACATGTTTCGTAATGTACAGGAATCTGACGAAAAAAATTAAGACAAAAAATTTAAATTCGGTATAGGGTATTTTAATATACAATCCGTAACTGTCTATTATCCATAAATAAATATATATGCATTTACAAATTTAAAATTTGAAATTTCAATTTACAAAATTGTCAATCTCCTTGACCCTACTGACTGACGAAATCTAGGAAAAGCAAATTGTCGCTCTGAATTAATTACCTTTCCTAATTATTTTATATTTTGTATACTTGCTTATCTAAAATCTCTGTCTTTGCTCCACTAAATCTTTTCTTATTAATAAATTGATTATTGTTATAATTTCATAACAAATTCTCTTTATAAAATTAAATAATAAATATTTACAAATTAATAAGTTAATATTACCGAATTCTGATAAATGTAAACAAAAAAATAAAAATTTTTTTTCTTTTTGTATACATATTATATATTATTAATCATTAAAAGAACAATAATTATGTATCATGATTATAATTTTTTAAATAATTACAAAGAAAGCCAATTACAGAAAAATAGAGATACATAACATTTTTTTCACTTAATCCATTTGTATTGTTCTCCTCGTTGTCTTGTATATTTTATCTACTGTATATTGTTTATTTTGGATTGTTTTATTTCTATTAGATAATGGCCCCCACCTCGTTCTTTTCAATCATTGTGTAAAAATGTTTAAAAGAGAAGAGGATGATTTTTTTAGTGTTACTGCACAAGTTTTCCCAATTGAAATAAGTATCATTAAATATTGATTTTTTTATCTTAAAATCTGAAATTAAATTCTTTTGTCGATATCAAGTTCTATAGATTTATTTAATTTTGTTTTTTTATATGCGTATCGATAATAAAGTTCTTAGTTATTTTATTATTTGTGTTATATGTTTATAGTTACCGATCAGTCCTTGAATATACAGATAAAAACTTTGCACCACTTATAGTGTAAACTAGATATGCAAGGTTAAAATATATTTTATTTGCTCTTTTATATCAACAATAATTAAGTATTATCAACAATTAATAAATATCGATTTTTTATATTTTTTAAAGCAATACATGGAAGCAATTAGTAATTAACTCTTGCGAATAAACGACGATAAAATTTTATTTTATAATTTGCTTTTATAAATTAAAAAAAAATGTTATTTATATATCTACGTATTTTGTAATGGTTATAAATTAATAATAATAACATTTTTAAGTAAACTTTCTTTAAGAAAGTAGCATGTAGTCGAATAAGCGAATGGCAGATTCAAGGAATCATTTCACTTGCATGCTCGACACAAAGTTCTATATACACGCGCGCGTGTGCATCCATCCATCTACCTTTCCATGCACCAACGCAAATACACATCTATTTATTTAAATGTTTTTTGATACTCCATATTTATCACAAACGTTGTTATATATATTCAGTAATGAGCTTTTATATGAATTTATTTATTGATTCATTTTTTATTTACTTTGACGTCAATCTCATTAGTTTCTTATACGCCATTTTAAAATACAATAAAGACGAATTAAAAAAACTCAAGTATTAAAATTTGTACGAAGTTTATTGTTAATTCATAATAAATGCAAGGTAAATAAAAAACTAATCAAAAATACAATATGATTTAATTGTAAATAAAATATTATTCTTACAAACAATAAATTGAATGTATTCATATTATTTGGTAATCTTTTTATCCAAAGCAATATCGTACAACTTTAAAATATTTGAATTTTTAATACAATAAAACTATTATTAAAGGTATCCAAATTGTATGCAATATAAAAAAGTTTTATCCATGGTTATCGTGATTATAATTACACTTATATAATCACAATTTATATACGCAAAAAACATAAAATAAAAATTTAAAGAAAGATCGTTTGTTGTACTTGAATAACGTTTCACATTTATTTTTCACCGTTTATTACTTTCTCGATATACACAACTCTTTCTTATTACTACTCTTATTTGCGCAGTTTTACACATAAAATATATACGTACGAGCAAGGGTGCACATGTTTGTATATTTAATCGTATGTATAATCAATAAGCATAGTATGGAGGCTTTGCAAAAAGCGACTAATGCGTGCATGCGTCTGTGGGAATGTATTTATATTTTGTGATAGGTATTTAGATGTTATCAGCATTTTTATTTGATTCCTCTGTTGCTTTATCTTCGATACCGGGTCAAGAGCAAATCGGAAAAGCTCTTCTTTGCTCGAGTTACCAAGGATTAAGGGACTTCTCACTTTCTATACAAGGTAGTATAACTCGTAAAAATATTATGAGACTTATAATTTCTGTTTTAATTTAAGTCTTATTATTAATCTTATAATTTAATACGCATCAAGTAAATTAATTACATTTAGAAAAAGAGCAAAATTATTTAAGTTATTTACTAACTTTAATCAATAATTTATTTGCGATAAAAGATAGATTTAAAATGGAAATGTACTAGATACGATGAATCTATACAACTGGTAAATTTTATATTTGAAATAAATATAGATTCTCATTTTATGGATATAATAAAATTAGCGATAGACAAAAATAAGAAAATTGTGTATGTTATTTCTCTAAACTTGCGCTTACTTTTTCTCTTTTCTCATATTGTTTTAGTCGTTTCTATTTCTATACATTTGCATTTTTCTACAATCACTGAATATTCACCAATTAAACTGATTTGTATGATGATTTCGTGAATAATTTTCTATTACATTTTTATACATTGAAGAGTTTTACATTAAAATTGGTGCTTTGAGGACATACTTGTGTACACACATTCATCTCTCGTTTTATCTCTTTCTTTTTCCTCATTATTTATCTATCTCTCATGCTCTCACTATGTCAGTTCTACAATATATATTTCTCTACAATACGTATACAAGCTTCTGTATAAATACAATAATGTACAAGTTATTTTAATGTTTCAACTCACTCATGTATCATAATTTTGTTTAACATTTAATTTGTAACTTGCTTTCAATACATATTGGAGTTGAACCTTACCGTGACCTTAAGTCGCATATACATTTCTTATATTTCTTATATTCTATTAAGAGACCTACTCTAAGATTAATGAATTTCTTTATTTCTTGGTACTATTGGTCTTCTTCGTGTGTTTCTACTAAATTATACGAATAACTTCGTGCAAATATCGCAAAACTTTTCTTTATATTTTCATTCTAAAAATAAGAATCTGCGCTCATTTTCAATTATTGAAGCTCATTTTACCTTTATTTATCGCATTTTTGTTTCTCGACATACTTATAAATTTAAATAAATTGCGATTATGCAGTACCTTAACAAAATTAACTGTTTTATATTTCTTTCTATTTTTGTCTATTAATCTCTTGTGTCGATTATCTCTCTTTCATGTTTTTCTTATTTTAAATTTCGTTAAGTTACTCCTCTACTATCCCGAGCAGCAACGGTTGATACTCGGCGAACGACAAAATGCTCTATGTGTTTATTTTCATTCATTTTTGTAAAAAATGAAGAAAAAAAATATTTAGCATTTTTCTATTTTATTATTTGTTAAATAGTAATAATAATTTATTTGAAGTAGTGTTCTTGATAAATCACGTGTGAATATTTATCAGGAAAGATAATTAAACATTGTCCCTCAACCGAAACCCGTATTATGTCAATGCACTGAATAAGATCGTTATGTTTTGTTTTTCTTTGATTTTTTGTTTCTTTTATTATTATAAGAAATCAGTAATCATTGAAAAAAGTTGCTTAAAGACGTATCTAGACTTTTTATCAGTCGATTTTAAGGTTCAAGACCTATTAATAATGTTAATTTGATAAGAAAAGACAAATGCTCTAACTTTTTAATCTAATAAATTCTCAGAAAGTATCGACAAGTATGTGATATGCGATTAGACATTACAATTCTGATAAGACTCGGCAACTTCGTAACTTCGAAAAAGTATAAATCAGATAGCTAATACATCGCTATAGACAAATCATTAATTTAAAATATAAATTGTAAGATAGTAGAGGAAAAAAGTGTTTTTTGTTCTTATTCGTTATTTTGTAATTTTTTTTTATTATTTACATTCTGTAATTAAGTTTTTATTTTTAATATTATTTTCTTAATGTTCAAGATAAGGAATACTACATACACCGATAAGTGACTGATCAAAGATATAACATATTGTGAATGCATTTTACGATCTTGTTTTCTATTTTCTTCGTTAATAAGGGTCTTACGAATAGAAAATGAGTATATTAAAGACACGTAAAGTTGAGCTGACTCAATGCCATAGTAATATAGATATTGTAATTAAGAATGCAGATTATATATCGAGTTCACTGATATAAAAGTTATATTTCAGGTAATTTGAAAGCTAATTAAACATTCAAGCTATTAAAATTTTTCTTTTTTTTTATCTTGGATAAAATAAAACATTATCAGAAATTGAAAATTTTTTTTGAAGTATCAGAAAAAATAATTTTTAAAATAATAATTTTATTAGCTTAATAAAATCATTAATTGTATTAGCTTTATAATTTTGTTCAAACGTTCTTAAATATTATTTAATTTAATGATAAAGAAAAGTTTGAATTACAAATGAAAATTAGTCAAAGTCGCATATTACCTGCATCTCATTTACATTATGTTTAGAGAATATTTATTTATTACGTACTACTATCTTTTTTAAATACAGTATAAAACACGTAAGAAGAGAAATACACATGCGCTGTTATTTAAAAAAAAGTTAGAGATTGAAATGGTTTTTATTCCGTAAAACCCTTAAGCGATGTATATATTTCCATCGTATTATGTTGTTATCTGGAAAGTATTGTTATATTAATGATGTGTATTGAATATTGTACAATGGGATAGAGAGAAAGAAAAAAAAGAATATTTAATTCCCAGAATGAATCATGAAGATGAAGATGAAAAATTCTTTCCTCGCATATAAAATTCAGTGAATGCATTTTGCATAACTATCTGACATATAACTCAACATGCAATAATACAACTACAAAACACCAAAATAATTCTCCTGGTTTCGTTCATACAAAGTAATTTTCACATTTCTACGATCGACTTTCAGTATTGTAAATATAAGGTTTGGTTGTTTATTTAAACATGTGTACATAATGTTAACAATTGCGAGCGTAGTAAAAAGTGACGACACACTACGCGCATCATTTAATCGTAGGACATCATCTTCCAATCTTTCTGATCACAGAATCATCAAGCAAGTTGTAAAATCAAGACAATATTTAAGTGTAAGGCTTATAAGCAAGGAGAGGAATAGACAAATTAATGCATACTTGGTCAAATCGACGATATTAAATAAATAGTGACAGGTAAAGATAATTTACAAGGAAAATTAATAAAGAATGCTACGACGTGCAACGAAAATGTAAGTGTTGGAGACTTAGGCGCGCGCTAGTAACTGGTGCTTCTCTCTCTCTCTCTCTCTCTCTCTTTCTCTCTCTCGGTCTATCTATCTACTTATCTATATATATTTATGTGTAGCCCCCTTGATGGTTCAGTATGTGTTGATCGCTCTTGTAGCCGTCGCAAATTCAGCTTGAATCGAAACCTTATTTCAGGAGCTGATGTGCTCTTTCATTTGCAACTTGTATCCTTGTCTCGTTCGACTCGCCCTGCAAGAGTAGAAGTGTCCGATTTTTATTTCTGGATTACCAGCAACAGTGACAACGCACTGTAAATGATTTCATATTATTGACCTTTAAGGGGAGGGAATCGATCTCCTTTTCCATGCTCAGAAATCGTGTAATAACATTTGAATGTACTATTATGCATACACCAACACAAAGATAAGCTTTTTGTTTTGGTTTATTACTAAGTCATTATGCATTAAATACATTAATAGTACTTTAAATGTTCTAAGATTCCAAGTTTCCGAAATTCATTTTAACTCTACTATTATTTTTATGTACGATTATTGTATTACAAATATTATTAGTAATTTTATCTTTAAAAATTTAATTTTCACCAAATACATTTAATTGTCGTCTGAAAAAATGAAATTTTTTATTCTCATAGAAAATTTTTTCTGCCGATTTTTCATATAAAACAATGAGTTCAATGTCAAACAGAAACCTATAATCATTTCGTAAGAAACTAATACATGAATATATTTAAAATAACCCTAAATTTCATTTAAGACACGATTATTTTTATTCAATTATTTCAAACATATTTAATTATTAGATATCTTGTTTAAAATGATACAGATTTCATACATTGTCCTTTAGGAATACAAACTGAATTTTGTTGATAAATTTTCTACATATTCGTGCAATTAACGTTTAAAAAGTAATCTTAATTTTCAAATTAAATCATATTAAAGCTATTAATATAACATTAATCACAATTTAATTGCATAATTTATATAAATATATTTAGATTTTTTTAGATAAACTTACTTACAAATTGAAAATAGCAAAATAAAGCTATACTAAATCTATATTTACGATTGTACAATTTCATTATGTAAATATATTATGGAAATAAAGGATTAATACAAGTTCAATAGAACAGCACTAAATTATTTCAATTTGTCCAAATTTACTATACAAAAAATCTACTTTTCAAATATCACAAAAGAAATTGTTAAAAAGGGACATTTTATGTAGTGACATAAATATATTTTCTGATAAAGAAAAGCTAGCAAATTATATTAATGGCTCGACAGGAGCTAATATTCAACTCTGCAAAAGTAAAGGAGATATAAAAAAATAAGTAATTAAGTTTGCAGTATTTTAAAACAATAAAATATAAATTATACAGACTATTTTAAATAAACGATCATTATTCTCTGCATTTTTAAACATCACGAATCTGTTATTATATAAACTTATTTGGTCATACACTTCACTTCATCTCCATACTGCTCGCAATTTATATATTTATTATACCATCTATAATGTGGATAATATATTTCTAATCTAATATCTAATATTTAAAGATCTACATAATAACAACAATAATTATCACAAACCTCCTTTTGGATATAATACACATAGGCATTTCTGAACAATACGCATTCCGTAACAAGGTCTCCTGTGTCTGGTGACACTAATGCGAGATGTCGGAAAAATGCTCAGGGTTTTACAGTATTGTGCGAATTGCAAAACAATGAACCTTTTCCGTAACAGTAGGGACACATACAACATGAGCAAAGAACATCGAGAGCGAGAGATGCCTGACCTTGCGATTGATCCTGTCGATCTGGCGATTCTGATTCTCGAGCTCGCTGCCCATGTCGATGGCCATGTTTCTGAGATTGCCGATCATCGTGTTGACTTGTCCCATGTTCTCCTCCATCTCGTTCTCTCGGGCATCGTTCGTAATCTTGCCAATGTAGCCGCCCTGAGGTCCAAGGCCGTTACGCTCATCCATTACTCGTTGGGGTTGATTGTTGACAACCTTCCCATCGTCATTTCCCTTCCATGTACCCTCGTCCTCTTTGAAGCTCGCGCCCCTAAAGCGCCGACGACCGCCTCAACGTCAATCATATATTTCTTTGATACCTTACTTACTTTATATTATTCTCTTTCTATAATTTTACACTTGAGCATGAGTGGTCGTTTTTACTTGTTTCATGGATAAAAGACATTACTCCGAGTAGATTAAATGTTCCAAATTCTCTCCAGTTTTTAATTTAATTATTTACTTTTATTACTAATTTAATGATTATGCGTTTATTACGAGAGTTGAAGAGTTTTTACTAATATGGATACAATGAAAGTATACAAGTCTAGAAGACTATGTTTTTAACGAAAAAAAAATCAATTACTTATACTTATCGTTGTCTGCATAAAAATCAAAATTTTTTCGTATACTTCAAGGAGTAAATAAAAATATAAAAAGATATAAGATAAATTAGTTGAATACTTTAAACATTGCAATAATTTTTCGTATTTTACATATTTATTTTTATCATGTGATTTTAAGCGTATTTCTTTGTATAACATGGTAATGAAAACATATTTTCAACACAGATAATTACACAAATAAAAAAATCTTTTCAACACAAATTTTTGTCTATCATTAAAAACTTCATTATATGACAAACAATGATTATTGTATAATAGTTATTAATATTAAATAGGTAAAAAGTAAACGAAAATAATTATTTATTTCAAGTAAAATATGGAATATAATAATTGAAGCTTTTTTTAAAATATCATAGTAAAGAATTTATTAAAAAATTATCCAAATGAATAAATTTTAACTTAATATTTAAGTTTAATAATTAAAATACTAAGTTAATAAAGGTTAAATATACGATTCACAATATTATAATAAATAATACAATATTCGTACTTGTTGCAGGGCAGAACGCAGAGACCACAGCATTTTTCCATTCCCGTCAAGTTCTTTTCAGCCTCACGCATGTCGGCATTGATTTGATCCATTCCCTCCTCGATGCGGTCAAGTTGTTCTATTTATACCAGCATATAACAATGTTATATCCTCGCCCTTCTTTTTTTGGAGATTTCTGGCTTCTCTCTCTCTCTCTCTCTCTCTCTCTCTCTCTCTCTCAAACATACGGACACGCACAGACATTTTCCTTCACTTTCGGATATTAATTTTCTCTCTTACGTGTATACATGCACGCTATCTTTTTCTTTTTCAAAATTACGTTGAAACAGCATTGTTACATCCATATCAAAATTTAGTAGCACGAAATTTTTTCCTTCAAACTAGTAAATTGAGATAAATAAAATTTAAAATACAAAATAATTACGTGCTTTAAAATTAATGGACGAACAATACATGTGCAAAGACTGGCTGGAGAATCAATTACAGAAAGTCACCCTAGAATTGTTAAATAATAGATATAGACTCAAAAATACAAAATTATTTTTACTACACAATATTAATATTGAAAAATTGATAGCAAATGTCTAACGTTATGAAAGTAATTAAATAGATACGTATTTTAAACTTAAATAAATTAAATTAATTAATACTCGTTGGAAAAGTTGAAAATAAAAAATATAAATTAATTTCATTTTTAACAATTTTCGTTCGCATATTTTTGCAGAAACAAGAGTAGCATAGATCTATTGATACCTAAACATAAATAGTAGCAATATATAAGAAGCAAACCTGAAGTAAATACAAATAATATATAATAAATCAGGACATTGTCAAACTCAAATATGTGTGGAATATGGCAAATAACAAAATGCTGCGAATTCGTTAATGGTTAGCTGATCGATTTTCACCTTTATCATTCGTATCAGAAAAAAGATTGATTGCTACTATTTTAAAAGTTACAAAACATATTTTTGCATGAGGCGGATAACTAACCTTTTCTAAATATAATCACCTAGTAATTTATGTAGTGCACATATACATTTAATTTTTATATCACCATAATTAATTTTTATTCACTTGTTACTATCAAGTGTGTTTAAACATTTTTTTTGACGTTTGACTTTATGATGAAAATTAATGTTTAATGTTATGTTTTGAATGATAGATTAACAATTTATGAATTTTTAAAAAATATTTATTTTGATTTTTAAAATATAATTTTATATTGAACATGGAAAAAAAGAATTTTTATAATTTTCCAACTGTTACTACATATATTTTTAAATATTTTGGCTTGAGCAATTTCAAATTGGTTCAAATATTATCTTGCATTCAAAAGTTAAATTATTTTATCGATGGCAGAGCATAATTATATCTATTTTACATTATAACAATTCGATACATTTATCGATAGTAGATTTTAAATCTAATATAACATTATTATTTATATGTTAGTTTTACGTATTATATATACTTTTCATTAGAGTCTATTAACTGTTTTACAATTAATTTAATGTAGTTTTATTTAAACAATATTCGTGCTTAACATACAGGTATTCTAGTTTATTTTAAATTCATGGTTTAATTAATATTATTTTAATTAATGGTGTATAAAACAATTAAAATTGGTTAACATTTAGAGTATTTAAAAATGCATAAAATAAGAGGAACCATTATACCAAATAACATATTCTTAATATAAAATAACATTTCGAAATCCATACTTAATGATTCATAATAAAATGTTAGTCAGTTGATTAATTTGTAAATCGATATCACTAATGAGTAGAAAAAAATTGTATAAAAGATCTTTCTGTATTATCCTGCTCGTCTTTGCACACAGTTCACGAAAAATTATACCATAAATCTAAGGTTATATTAATATATGTGGCAATATAAAGTTACAAAAATAACAACATAAACATTTGATTAATGAATGCATAGTGATAAGTGAGAAATTAGACTGGAGTTATTTAAGTATAAAACCGTGTGATTGCGCGAAATATATACTTAAAATATATAAGGTCTGAGCGTTGGTCGTTAAGGTGTCAGTGAGCATGAATTAGTATTTTTCCGTCATATATTTATTTTATTTTCTTATTCTTTGCAATCTACGATAAGGAATTAAAAGAGTAGAGTAAAACGTGGAAATTTTAATATTAACTTATCTAATTATTTGTTATTATGCACATTTTTATGTAATGAACCAGGAATAATACTTTGATTTAATAAGATATTGCACATTACATTTCGTCTTCGAATCATTCGTATTTATAATTATAGTCATTAAAATGAAGCTGTTACATCTAAGGCTAATGACTAAAGTTAATAATCTAAAATGAACAAAGTAAGAATATTCATTAAATTATAATAATACTAATCTAAAATTATTATTTGAATGAGTGATTTATATTTTACATTTATCCCAAATTCTTATAATTATTATAATAAAAAAGTTAATAAACAAAATCTATATAAATAATTTTGAAAAAATTGTACACTTCCAATTCCAATTTTTAAATTATTAATCAAAAGCTATATGTAATTAATAATATCTTGAGATTGTATTTATGTTTTCAGTGTATATTGCAAATATTATAATAAAACTGAGTCAGTATATCGTTCTATTAAGAAATTTAATCTACTTAATTTTATAATTTCTCTATATTATCATTTGCATTTAATTTTTTTCGATATATTTATTTAATATGTGATGAATCTGACTAATAGATAAATCCTCATGTATATAAGAGAAAAAACAAAAGAAATACTTTTTTTAATTTATTGAAATGTATAAGTTCTTAAAGTTTTCTTATTTGCCATTTGCATTAATATAAGGTTGTATTGGGTGTACGGTTATAGTCTTAAATAAAACAATATAAAAACAATTCTTTAGTAGATGTACCAATTATATTATTGTTAATAGTAAATATTTAGAGTTAAGAAAATTTAAAATAGGGTACTTTAAATTAAAATACTATAAAATCAACTTCAATAATCATTAAACAATATTATGAAATAAATTAAAGAAATTTCCTATATATATTAATATTATGAAATAAATTTTTTATCATATTTCAACTTGACTTAAAAAAAATATGATAATGAAAAAATTGAGTGATTAAAATTTTTATTAATGAAATTTAACTAAACATGAAATATAACCGCTCGATATTTGAAAACTTTTATCAACAGACGAAACATAGGTGAGTCGAACTTAAAATTTAATTAAAAGGTAACATTGTATAAGACTTCAAAATGAATAAATGACTCGGTTGTTATAAATATTTATACGATTTTTTAAATGTAAAATTCATCCTACTTTGAGTTTAGTTCATTCATGACACAAAAAATCCTGAAACATAAGGTATTGATGTATTACCGATCATCCAAGACAGCCTTACGCAAATGCTCTCCTACATACTACATTGTGTGAGATACATCGCTGATAAATTAGTTTATATAGAAGCTAATGAGGCTAGATAGAATGGCTTACCGCCTTGCTCGTCCAGCATTACAAGAGTTTTCATCCCGACCTCGTGGCTCTAAACAGGTACAACCGACCAATGAGAGAGGCATTAACATCATCACCCAATTGCGATATCTAGCGTGCTTTTCCGTCCAAAAGATATTGGAACACAACTCTTTGCTACTACTTAGCATAGTCTCGTTATTTTCTATTTCTTTTACTATTAATTAAATTATTTTCAAAAATTAAAAAAATTGTTATTTGTTCGAAAAAATATTTATTTTTTATAATATAAGATTAATATAATTTAAAATAAATAAGATTTATTTTGTATTGAAAAATTCATTCCGGCTTTACTTTTGGAACATATTTCAATAAATACCCAGTGATATAATAAATTGAAAAGACGAAAGTGAGATCGAACCATGTGATTTAGTAAAGCTGACAGATAATTGGTTTTGTGCATCGAGCGTGTTTCATTATCTATTTAGATACATTTTGAGCTTTTTCTGGTTAAATTTTTCTGCCGTTGCTAAATTGATATGTAACTAGAAAAAAACTTTATCTTTAGCTTTTTTACATATTATATACTCATATATAGTTTATAGAACCTTTTATTCTTATGAAACCCTATGCATCTACATTAATATTAGCTGTCTTGTAAATAATCTACTCTATAGCGTCATGATATAAAGAACAAAAAATGCACGCTAATTGTATGTTACACGTAATTTTATATAATTAATATTAACTAATAATATTGATGATGATAACGGCAATGGCTATGGCAATGAGTAGAATTTTGATAATAATTATTACAAAAATATGGCTAAAATGAAAATTAAATTGAATAAGAAAATCGATTAAAAAATAGAACATTAGTGGAGAAAAAAGAGAACGAAAATTTTTCTATTTGGGTTAAGAAAGTTCCAAAGCTTGTTAGTTAAGTACTGAATAATATCTCAAATCCTCTGTTTTAACATACATTTACATCATACACGTTTATATTAATTTTATGATAAGCTTGCTTTATATTTTCTATAATTGAAATTGACACCGTAAAAAAACAACTTTTGCTTGTACGTACATACATGGTTTATGCATTATTGTTAGCCATATATCGATAGACTAAATCTTTCATATATAATATTAATGCTTTATAAACTAAAACTAAATTATTACCGTATTTAATTATAAGATATAATAATAAATATTTTACACATAAGTAAATGTTGTCGTCATAAATATCTACACATATAAATGTATAACATCTTGCGTAGAAACTTTTTATATACAAGTCATACAAATAGTGGCATATATGAATATGAAATATATTAAAAGAAGTAATTCTTTTTGTTCATATTGATATTTGTATGTGGGGATATATGTTGGTAAGTATGCATGAACGAGAAGTAAGCTGTACATAGAAGTTTGAAGGAGATGGTAAAAATATATTAAATCAATAAAATATTGCGATATCGTTTAAATAAATTTTATTGAATCTGCATATATCTATGGCTAAATAAGTTATTGTATTATATACTAGCAGAACTTATTTACTATGAACTAGTTATTTTTAGTTCACCAGTTTGTTTCACTGTATGACTACTGGAATTAAAACTTTCTTAGATTTTACAAAATAATCATGTAATAAATTGTTCTCTTGAAACTTTATATTCGAACATGAGCAAATAAGTAAAAGGTAAATAAAAGCAATGTTTAAATACGATGACATAGAGTTAGTATTTTTAGTGTTTGTTATCAAGCGTTAAATTTTTAAAGGGTTAATTTATTAATTGTTTTACCATTATTTTTATGTATTGCTTACCCCCTTGATGATCTAGCATCGTCAAAGTATTCGCTCCAATTTCCTCGCTCTATAACATTTTCGATACCAACAATCTGATAAAGTTTCAAAATTAGGACGTCAAAATTTAAAACACGGTGTATATAAGCCATAGGTAAAAGATTAAGTAGAAGAAATAGTAAATGTTTATTATACGTTTTCACATAATGAAATGGAATCATTAATTAATTTAATTATAATTACTAATAATACAAACTTTAAAAATTAAATATAAGACACTATAAAATAAGTTTTACTAAAAATTGAATATATATAATGTAATGGGCACAATAATTGTAAGTGACAATAATCACTGAGTAAAATATGCTTAATAGGGTAATCGTGATATATTCATTAAACATAAAATTAAAATAGAAATTTGAACCAAATATATGTTATATATTAAATTAACTAATTAAAAAGTTAGAAAAATAATTAGATATACTCTAATAATTGAATAATACATAAACTTTATATAAAATATAAAATAAATCAATCATTAAGAAAATAATGTTTAATTTTCCTGTAACAATATTTTAAATTAAAGTAAATATCATATGTGATTGTAAAAGTTAAAGAGAAATTTAATTTCATATTCCTATTATAAAGTTGAAATATGTAGATGCCAATACAATTTGTAGGAAAAATATTTATATGCACGTTCAAATATTATTTAAATTTGTTTTTTCGCCTGAAAAGTAAAAAATAGAAAACACTTCCTTTTCTTTCATAAACTAGAACAGTATTTCCTTAAATAAATTTGATTATTTCTACCGAATATACTAAATATAAAAGAAAAAATATAATCATGAATAATAATAAATAATGAAATTGCGTAAACCGGGTACTGATATTATTCCGAGTTTTTATACTATATGTGAATAAATTATGAACATTAAAAAGAGTAGTCACTATTTTCTCTTCGCTACTAACAATACAATATTAAATGATGGATTTTTAATTAATTCTAGTTTAATACATTTCAAGCTTTATGTTTAAGCATGTGATTGCATCATCCAATTGCGCGTTCTTCTCTCTCTCTCTCTCTCTCTCTCTCTCTCTCTGTCTTTCACTTTATACAATTTTTATCATTGAAGTTCTATTGATTTTAAATCTTTAACGTTCTTCTCATAGTATTTTCATTGCCAACACTTTAGAAGCGAAAATTAAAATAATATAAAACGAATGTTATAAATTCATTTTTATTAATACAAAATTACAAGAAAACATAATTACAAAATTCATTCACCCATTTAAATATTATTTAAAAAAATTAATTTTTATCTTTTGCCAAATATATATCAATCAATGATTATTTTTGATAGTTAAATTTAGTAAATACTTAACAAGATAAATGAAATACTTTACTTCCTATATTACTATTCTTGTAAATGGCAAGCATAATTTATTTTAGTCTTTTAGTATTTTAGTATTTATTTAGTCGTTTAGACTAATAACACTTTGATAATTATAATAAACTGTTAAAATAAAGAATTGAGATATAAAAAAGGTTTTTAATTGTAATAAATTGTAATAAAAATAGTAAAACTATCCTTTTAAGAATATTTTTTTTTATAGGTTAAAAAATATTTCAAATAAGATAAAAATGAAGGCTTAAAATGAAGGATTGAAAATAGTTAAAATTAATGATGAAAAATGTCGATGGTTAACTGTAAAAAATATATAAATGCTGTTAATAATAAAATAATAAAAATAAATATGTAAATATTACATTTTTCGTATATGTTGAGAATGTATATTTAAAATATATAAATATAAATAGACAACACTGCGTAATTGATTAATCAGAACTAGAAAGCCAAGGTTATGAAAGGAAATATTGGTCTATATAAAATATATTCGCTACAGAAACAATATTTTGAGTATGATGAATGAATATATATCGTATGTAGATACGATTAATAAACGGACAGAAAGCTACTACTAAAACAAATACACGTAACAATTACGATATAATACGAATTAACACTATATAACGTACAGATTACGTACGTAGACTAAAAGCAACACAACTAGAAGCTTTTGGTGAGGCTACGTAAGTAGGTACAAAGTATGCTTAACAATTATGTTTTAACTAAAAAGTAAAGTTTTTTTACTAAATTATAATATACTGATTTTTAAAATCTTTGTATTTGATGTAATTGAATCTTTGAAACATTGTAATGTAATCGTTATTTGTAATATAAAAAGTTAATTATTAAATTACTTTAATACAGTTATATTATAACAATTAATTAAGGATATATTTAAGCTATATCAATTTAATCTTAATTTCTATGTATGTAGAACTGATGTCAGGCAATAAATACGAATCTTTTAGAAGGAAAACTAAATATATAGCATATTATATACAATAAAATAAAATTATGTGAAAATAAAAGTTGAATAGACAATATTCCACTATGAATCATGAGTTAATGCAAAAATGTGCGATTATATAAATACTATAAAAATATAATATACGTACCTACGGTTTTGATAAGGTATTAAAGAGTAAGATTAAATGAAAGGATAAAATTAAAAATCCATTCGAATATAATCTAAAAATATGAAGTAGTTCACCTGTATTTTGCAATAAGTGTTAAGCACAATACTATATATATATACGGTTTCATTTTTTAAATATAATTTTTAATCTTTTACATTATGTTTAGATTTAAATTAAAATATTACTATCAGTTGGAGTTCCTTCATTTAAGTTATTTTCATTTTTGTCACTCTTACTTTTTTTTATTCATCGATTAGATATTGGTAGGGGATAGGATGAATATTAAGAATATGTATATATAATATATAAAGATATATAAATAGAAGATAGACATAGACAATGATAAAAAAACATTTTCAAATAATTTTTCAACGTATCATAATGAAATAATAATAGAAAATTACAAATTACTATATCAAAAAAGTATATTTTATTTAGAAATGCAATAATATGATAGCATATAATGATTAAAAAAGTTTGAAGTAAAAAGAAATATAATGTGTATGAAAATTAGACTTGATTTACGAAGAAGTTACTTTTGTCTGTCATGAATAATCAATCTATTACGTATTGCTGTACTATCTATAATGTTTTAAGTATTATATATATTTTTTATTATTATTATCATTAAGATATTTTATTATTTTTGTCATTATTATTGGTACCTGTTAAATCTTAATCGTTGTAGTACATGTATGCAAAATCAAAGAAAATTTTCATT